TCACTAAGTTTTTAAAACAGTTTAATTATATGAGAAATCTTTAACCTTATACTAAATCTACTAGAGCTTTCTGTTATTTAATTTTTAGCTAATTCAGTATCATTATAGCTAAAACCAATATTTGTAATTAAGATAATCCTTAAACTGCTATATCTTTATAGAATTTATACAACTTAGTATTTCTCTTTACAACCTTACCAGTATCTTGTATATTCTTATAAGTTCTTTTATATTACTAATTTTGTTAATTCTGTATAATATAATTTTATATTTAGTTTAACTAATAGCCAGATTGATAAATCTTTTTATTTAAGATTCTTGTTTATACAGGTCAATTACTTCAAGTTTTCATCTCTAAATTAAGATTTTTATAGGTGGTACTATCAAAGATTGTATTATTTTTCTACTTTGAATTTTCAAACAAGGCTTCTTATAGAATATATACTTTTCAGATTTATTTGTATAATATTACACTTTTTCAAATTTAGTCTTAATACAATCAGAATTACAAAGTTACAACCCTAGATATCCCAAACAAGTTATCAAAATAAAACTATTTTTCAAATTTTTATTATCAATAAGATTTGAACTTTGAATATACTACTTAAAAGATAACAATTCAATTATTATACTACCCCTTAACTATTCTATTTACATTCATTTAGACAGCCTATCTACTATACAAACTCTTACTAATTCAATATCTTATAACTACAACTCTCAAACCAAACAAAACAACTGGGATATTATCCACATTCTAAACTACCTAACCAAACTCAAAAATATCAATTATATTATGCACAAAGTTAAATCACATTCAAATAACACTTTACATAATATTGCTGATGCTTTAGCTAAACAAGGTGCAAAAAAAACAGAACTAAAATATAACCTTGACCATTTTTATTTACCTACTTTCTTTACTTGGAAAGAAATACCAATTTTATTGCTCGTCATAGGATCTGTTCCTTTTCCGATCTGCCATACGCCTCTACCCTGCGCATGGCTGTCATAACCACCTAACACTTGTTACGTCCTCACCAACACTTCTTCTATATCTGACCTGTAGTGCAATATGAGATAGGGTCACAGAACAAGTAAAACAAAGTCATGTGACAGAATTTCCGAGCTATTGAATTTGAGCTGCGTGTTGTTCTCTCTTTTTTTTTTTTTTTTGGGTGTGGCAGGGGGAGGAGCTAGACACACTGTCAAGCAGAAAAAATGACAAACAAAGAACCTTTAAATTATCAAGTTACTCAAATACTATTTCCGCATCCCTTTCCCTCTTACTAAGTCGAGTGAATGTTGTCACATAGAGGTCAGGTGACTCACAATAATGCACTGGCTTGTGACTTCGTTCACAAGCAGGCCATTATTATTGCTCATCATAGGATCTGTTTCTTTCCTGATCTGCCATGCACCCCTATCCCGCACATAGCTGTCGTAACCACCTAACACTTGTTACGTCCTCAGCAATACTTCCTTTATGTCTGACCTGTAGTGTAATATGGGATTGTTGGCGAGGATCGAATAGGCTGATATATAATTAAGAACAAACCCAAACTTATAGGTTTCTTTAATTCTTTAATTCTTATATTCATTGTTTTTATTAAAACCTTAATTAATCATTATTCTCTTCTTTATTTTTATTTTATTCCTACTATTATTATTATTATTATTATTATATTACTATTTTTTTTTTTTTTTTTTTTTAGAGGTCCTAGCTTTTACACAGTGGCTACTGTACCATCAATCAACTTTATGCCATACTCTGTAGGAGGTCCTCACCCCTATGGTGGGTCCCATCCTTGGAAGTCCATTCTCTTTTTTTTTTTTTTTTTTTTTAAAAAAACTCATTTGGCTAGAAGTTCCAGCTTTAGCTGTGGACACAGTTCTTAAGTAAAGCATGACTGCTTTTGAATTTCACCCTCCAATTGCACGGATCTGTGTAAGACTTATACCCGCAGCCTCGCTGCTGTAGCTCCACCTATTCTCAATAAGTGGGCTGTAAAATGGCCTGCCAAACCTGCATGTATGGCAAATCGTTTTACCACTGAACCAATTGCTGAAACAGAAACCTTTTTTTCTTGCTTTGATAGGAATATGGGGGCACTTGTGTTGGTTTCTGAATGAATCTCCAGGTATTGCTTCAAAAGCCTCATCAGGCAATACTTAGATTTTGTACTTTCTATCGGTATAAACCTGCCATTCCTAAACTCGTCAGTTTTTGACTTACAAATTCTAACCCACAATGTTCCTTCATTATCCCATTTTATGTCATCCATGCTCAAGTCTCTCAATTCACCTGGCCTTCTCATTGTCCTCAATCCTAGAGCCACTAATGCCTGATCTCTTTTTCTTATTGAATCGTCTGCCCACAATGGAGGACAATTCACATAACACTTCAAAGCTGCAATTAACAGTGAATCCCGGGGCCAAACCGTACTTATCCTTTGTAACCTCTTTTCTCAGAGCCCTTAATACTTGCATTACTGACAAAGATTTCCTAAAGTCCTTTTTCCCTTTTAAATGCAGGTTATATGTCACAGCCTAGAGCACGTGGGCAGCCTGAGACATATAACCAGCCACATCCAGCCACATAATGAATGCTAAAATTCCATCTTCCATTGGGTTGTCTGGATCTACCTCAAACTTTTTACAAAAATCATTGTAAAGGTTACAGTATTTGTCTGATCTGGTCCTATAAAAGGGGAATAATAAGTTTTTTGCCAATATTCTTGCCTTCTGAGATAGCTCCCTTATGGATGAATGTGGACTGTTATAAACTTCCACCCCAGGTTTCTCCAGGGTTTCACCAGTCCTGAAGGGCCCGGTGCAAACACAGCTTTTGGTTCTGGCAGAACAAGTGCCCTTCATTTTTGCTTCAGGAGTAGAGGCCACCACTCGGCTGAAGACCATTCTGAGATTACTATCGTTGTCCTTGCCTTGCAACTCTTTATATAATAAAGTACTCTCTGTATCAGATGAAGGGGAGGGCAAACATAATTTACTTCGTTTTCCCATTTTTGAGTGAAGCAGTCTACTGTCTCTGACCCTGGGCAAAAATGGTAGCTGTTGAATCTCTGCACTTTCATGTTTAAATAGGAAGCCATTCGGTCTATTGAATGTGGCCCGAATGCAGCTTCTATTTGCTGAAATATCTCCTCTCAAATGTACCAGTCTGATGAGTCGAAGATTCTGGTCCAAAAATCTGCTAAATTTTCTGCTGATGGTACCCACCTCATCTCGTAAATCCAAATGTCCCTTTCTAAACAAATGTGCTACAAATCTTTGTAGGCCTCTTTTTGCTAAATTTGTTGCCTACCTCTTTTCATTGTTGCTAAAGCTGTATGACTGTCTATAAAAACCAACACCCAGGAGCCCTGCAGAAGGTTTGCAAAGCTCTGAAGACCTAGCAAAACTGCTTCGGCCTCTAACATTGCAATTTCCTGAAAATTCAACCTTTCTAACCAATTTCTGAATACCGTTAGGCCATCTAACTTGGTGCACCAACCAGTCGTAGAGGCATCTACAAACAGAGTCCTTATCAGCAATGGTCTCCAAGCTGGGCAGCTATTGTACCTTTCTAAATTGTTTGTCAACCAACATAAGTCTTTTTTGCTTGGTCTGACAGCCAAATTTTTTGGTCCTATTCCCAACTCTGTCGATTTGACATATCTATTAAAGAGTAAAACTCCAGGCACTTTACTTGTGTTAGGGCAAAGGCTCTTGCTAAGCTTTGAACTTTTTCTGTAACCCTTGCCAATTGCTTTGCTGTTACCTAATTCATATTTAATAGTGTCCTCAAACATGCTTTTGTTTCTGCTAGCTTCTGTTCCATCACAATCACTTGTGCTCTTTTTGTATCCACGATTAATCTGTAGAACTTGATCCTTGTCGATGGTACCGGGCTGCTTTTGTCTCATGCTAGTATAAACCCACAATTCTTTAGGTCTGGTAATATAATTTCATCTCGAATCTTTTCTAGTATTATAGCTAAGGGGTGGGCTATCTATATATCATCTACATGTGAACCTGAAGCTATCCTCTTTTTTCTCCAATGGGCAATTAGCACCCTCATAATCTTCGAGAACACCCAAAATGCTTGGGAAAGGCCAAACGGTAATACCTGGTACTGATACTAAGTGTTCTCTACTCGGAACTCTAGAAAGCAACAGGCCTCCTTGTTCATTAGAATATGGTGGTAGCCATCCCTGAGGTCTAGGGTGATCAGTAATCAACCCTTCCCTATTGACCTTAGTAAACCTCTTAGGCCTTTAAATCGAAATGATTTTTTTGGTAATAATTTGTTTAGCCTTCTCAGATCTATGACTAAACAAAAATGTTTCAGTCCTGATTTTGGTACAAGAAAAACTGAAGATACTTCTAACAGAGGCACTGGGCAAAATAATGTTGTGCCCACCCTTTCTATCGCTCCTAACTTTTCCAATCGATGAATTTCCTCTTTTAACTATATCTTCTGGTCCAATGTTAAATGATAGAGTTTCAGAACCTTGCTTCTGGCTAGACTTTATATATTTCTTGGAAACAATGATATATAGTTCTTTAGCCAGCAAACTATTACAGATGGGAGGTTTATTTTTTCTAACCAATATTTTATTGCATTTGCTTCGTGAATTCTTTCAACTACTTCCTTGCTTCGATCTATCTCCTCTACCTCCTTTTTTATCTGACTCAACTTTTTCACCTGAGTGTGGTCACCCTCTTCCGTTGTTTCCTTTACTGTTTCGAAAAAAGTTGTTTCCCATCAAGTTTCCTTCTGTAGTTCTAGAAGCACATGTTGAGGCCATATGGCTGACTCTACTACAATAGTAGCAGGTGATCAGTTTGTTGGTTCCTTTTGCAAAAGAATTCTGGTAAGTTGGGTCTGGATTTGAAAAAACATTCTGGGCCTGATACCCTTGGAAAGGAAGAGAGTATTGGGCATAGGGTTGGGATGCTGGGTAAGGTAAGTAATAGTTTCGTCTTGGGCTAGTTTCTCATAGGTTACTCCTTTTATTTGACCAACCTCTATGGTTGTAAGATACAAGCTGACCCTCATATGGTTTTGCATGCTTTCTTGCTTCGATAAGTAGATCCTTAAATTCGTCACCTTCACTAGGCATTGGTTTTGGAATTTTCACAGCCACATTCCAGCCTTCCTCTTCAGCCACCCTTAATATAAAAGCCCTCAACTTCAAATACTCCTGTGCTTCTTTGGCTTTTTCCTTCGAGTCTTCCTGGATTGCTTGATAAAGTAGTCTGCTAGTATTGCATACTGCGTCATATTCATGCTAGTCCCATGGTCTCTTAAACTTCTTTCATTGGAAGCTTTCCTCTGTGGCTCTTGCCCCTTTTGACTTATTCTGTTGAGCTGACCATTGCTGCAAACCTTTGTCTAGGACTCTTAATAATGAATCACCTATTTTCTCTTCAATTCTCTTCTCTAGTCTACTTTCTATAATGTTCAAAAAAGAATTTTCATGCCCATCTATATTGTCTGATAACAGGAATCTTTTCCTATTATCATAGTCTTCATCAACATTTTGTTCTACTGACTTTTCTTTTCTGACCCTTTGTGGTTCATAGTTTATTTCAGGTTCTTTCCAAAAGGCTTCTAAACAGTTAATCAAATCTGTTTTTGTACCTTTCACATGAATATTATATTTTAAACACATTGTCTTCAAATCCGTCATTCGTAAACAGTTCCAGTTTACTATATTTGCAGATTCCCCTTGTTCACTAACAATTTCGTTAAGTATAGTATGGTTTTCCTCTGATATTATATGTTTATTAAATAACAAAAAACTATGACTTGTTCTTGCGACGAAGCTGGACACACTGTCGAGCAGAAAAAATGATGAACAAAAAACCCCTAGATTATTAAGTTACTTAAATACCATTTCTGGGTCCCTTTCCTTCTGACTAAGTCTAGTGAATGTTGTCATATGGAGGTTAGGTGACTTGCAATAATGCACTGCCTTGTGACTTCATTTACAAGCGGGCCATTTCATACAAGCTCTGTAAATTTTGCAAAAACATTTTTTTTATTCAAACATTTAACAAACTTCTTTAACTTAAACTACTACAAAATCTTTCTACTATAAACATTCTACTTTTTACCAAAATTATTAACTCCCAAAATTCTAACTTGAAACTTTATTCAATTAGAAATAAAATCCTCCTTAATAACCTGCCAACAATGTC